AAAAAATATATATATACAGTACTAAATAAAGTTTGCATTAGTCTAATCAGGTGTAGGAAAGTTACATCTAGAGCGCCATTTTATTAAAATTTAATGTAATGTACTAATAAACCAATTGTGTGTTCTTAATAATAAGCATTAATATATAGTTTGCCCATCATTTCTTCTCATTATGTGCCTGAGGACGACGGGGGAAACACATCGAAACATTGCATAAAACTTTAACCAATGATTGTTGCTCCATAAAGTTGTGTCTTTATATCTATCGTACTCACAATGGCTAAATGCCATTCAAAGACTTAACTTGACTTCAGGTGTAGGAAAGTTACACATATAACGCCAAACATACATATTCCAATTTGCATTTAATATTTGATTTCTCTTATTCTTATAAACTGTACAAATTTTCACTTACCTTTAGATAATAATTACTATATTAATAATACCATTACTAAATAATATTTCAAAACCTTGTGACAGACTAGAGATATGACAAGGCTAACCCTTTAAACTAGTTAATCAAGTTAAAGACAGGCAATATTGGCTTAAAACAATACACGCAACTCTAGGTCCTGTCAACTGTGACTAATTACACACGCATGTGCATGTAGAAACACACACACTAGTTGATTGAGACTAGTGATGTTGGACTCGGGGTCTCATGGCTCATCATTTCATTAATCCCACAATATTGACCCAAATCGAACAATTCAACAATAATAAGAGAGAAAGATAGAAGATGTTTTAAGTTTGCTGATGATAAGACTATACAGGGCTATTCAAGGGAGAATATGTTTCATTTTCCAAAATAACAAGAATTGTTAAAAAATATCATCTCTCCTTTTGCACACAAATTTGTCAATTTTGGTTAATAAATTTAATATCAAGATTTTTTACTCAATGGAAGGAACAATACTTGTATTATGAACTTTGCTTAGAACCTAAACAAAATATTAATTCTTGACTCTTAATTCACAAAAAATTCCAGAGAAAGAAAAATCATAATTTGAATAACCCATTCACTGAAGTTAAGAGATTTCAGCATGGAATTCGAATAAAAATCTGTACAAGCTTGATCTATCTGTCAATCACAAAACACAAAAATCTCGTCCAAAGAATGGCAAAATGGGAAGGAGTGGTTGTAAAGTAGTCGAATCCTCCAAATATATTATAAATATTAGATATATAATGTGTGTTTATAATTATATGTATCACAATTATAAATATTAGAGATATAAGGTATGTTTATAATTATATGTATCACAATTATAAATATTAGAGATATAAGGTATGTTTATAATTATATGTATCACAATTATAAATATTAGATATAAGGTATGTATTTAATTTTATGTATCACAATATAATTATAAATAATAGACATAAGGTATGCTTAAAATTATATGTATCACAATGTTATTATAAATATTAGAGATATAAGGTATGTTTATAATATTTTGTTTCACAATATATTTATAAATATTAGATATAAGGTATGTTTATAACTATATGTATTGCAATAAAATTATAAATATTTTAAAGATATAAGGTATGTTCATAATTTTATGTATCACAATGTAACTATAATTAATAGATATAAGGTATGTTTAAAATTATATGTATCACAATTATAAATATTAGAGATATAAGGTATGTTTATAATTATATGTATCACAATTATAAATATTAGATATAAGGTATGTATTTAATTTTATGTATCACAATATAATTATAAATAATAGACATAAGGTATGCTTAAAATTATATGTATCACAATGTTATTATAAATATTAGAGATATAAGGTATGTTTATAATATTTTGTTTCACAATATATTTATAAATATTAGATATAAGGTATGTTTATAACTATATGTATTGCAATAAAATTATAAATATTTTAAAGATATAAGGTATGTTCATAATTTTATGTATCACAATGTAACTATAATTAATAGATATAAGGTATGTTTAAAATTATATGTATCACAATTATAAATAATAGATATAAGGTATGTTTATAATTATATGTATCACAATTATAAATAATAGATATAAGGTATGTTTATAATTATATGTATCACAATTATAAATAATAGATATAAGGTATGTTTATAATTATATGTATCACAATTATAAATAATAGATATAAGCTATGTTTATAATTATATGTATCACAATTATAAATAATAGATATAAGGTATATTTAATAACATGATTAAGATATAATAGTATTAATTATTATAATCCTTCATGTCAATATTATGATATTTATATTTGAGACTAGTTGGCCAAAACCATTGACACCTTAGTCCCACAAACCCAGGGGGTGAAAACACCCCAGGTTGGGAACTGGAGGAATATCATGTTCCTTATTTCCTTTTTATGAAAGTTTCAACTAAATATTCACCTAACCATTTCGAATCCTGCTGGCTCCATTCTATGGTTCAAGATGACAGTGAAATGGATTTTGATTGGTATATTAACAATTTATTGTCCAATCAGAAATAATTTCACATAAACACCTCCAGAGGTGCTAAGCAAAAGAATGGAACCTACAAAACGGGTTTAGATCAGACACAATAAGCCCATGTTAAGACATGTTAAAATTAAAGAGGATGGTGTGGACAGACTATATGTTCAATAAGCCACAGATATGCATATATAATTTGTAAATTAACAATAAAAATCAGAATGATCTGAATAAAGAAAAGAATAACCTAATGTAACTAAAAATAGTTTGCAGTTTTTTTCATTAGAATTTTGTTCAAGAGGCTTATCATGTAAAAAATAGTCACATGATATGAACAGTATTTTTTAGCCTCAAGATTTGTCATTATTGTATAATTTCATACAATATGAGAGGTAGTAAGAGAGAAAATACATCACTTATCCATATTGAACATTGATACTTGAACTTTTTTTTCTTAAACCACACTAAAATGGCAATTGTCAAAGAGAAAGCTGTTAATATATTTTTTTCCTTTTTGACAGGACTTGTCATTGGAGGAGCAATTTGTGGAATAGTAAAAAGTTTTCACTACAAAAGGTGGCAGAAGTTTAAGACCTATTCCGAGTTGTTTGATGCTTGTATAGAGTTCTGACAGACAAGTAGAATAGAAATTGAGAAGAATAAAGACAAAAAATTGCTGCCGTTGACAAGAGTAAATGCGTTAGTTGTGCCAATTTTTGATGGATTTGTCATTCTTGATAGTATTGTTTGATGGCTGAGTTATAATAGATGCAGTAAAGCGTACAATATCACATTTAAATCAAATCAAAGACAGGAGATGAAACAGGAGAAATGTGCAATTATTCTGTTTAGAGAGTTAGAATTGTCAGACATCATCAGCTTATACTATTACATGTAAAGTAACACATTTGAAAATAAATTGTAGAACTGATTTATCTACAACAACAAGAACATTGATTTCCTTAGTGATAGGCCTCCACTACCATTTATACTATATCAGCGATGGTACTGTCAGCAGTACTATGTCCAATTCACTGGCAGTGGTACCTTGGTACTATGTCACAAATCACAGGCAGTGGTACCTTGGTACTATGTCCAAATCACAGGCAGTGGTACCTTGGTACTATGTCCAAATCACAGGCAGTGGTACCTTGGTACTATGTCCAAATCACAGGCAGTGGTACCTTGGTACTATGTCCAAATTACAGGCAGTGGTACCTTGGTACTATGTCCAAATCACAGGCAGTGGTACCTTGGTATTATGTCCAAATCACAGGCAGTGGTACCTTGTTACTATATCCAAATTACAGGCAGTGGTACCTTGGTATTTTGTCCAAATCACAGGCAGTGGTACCTTGGTATTTTGTCCAAATCACAGGCAGTGGTACCTTGGTACTATGTCAAAATCACAGGAAGTGGTACCTTGGTACTATGTCCAAATCACAGACAAGGTTACCTTGGTAATATGTCCACTGGCAGTTGTACTATGATACTATGTCCAAATTACTGACAGTGGTGTCACATCCAAATCATTGGCAGTGTTATTATTTCTAAATCATTGACAGTGGTACTATGTCAACAATACTGACAGTGATACTATGTCCAAAATACTGACCATAGTCCAAATCACTAACAGTGATACTATGTCCAAATTACTGACAGTGGTACTATGTTGTCCAAATCACTGACTTACCACTCACTTATCAATTTGAATGGGTGAAACATTTTCTTAACTGTATATCAATATAAAATATTGTCTATTAAAATCAAACACTTATAAACCACAATAATGATCAAATATGTCAATTTTGTATTATCATAGGTTGTTTTTAAACTAGTATTAGTACACAATAAAGACAGCTAATATGAAACAATAGGTACAAAACTATAAAAATGGTAGCAGTACTAATGTAGATAGGGATGACTTAGTAATAATTCTCTACAGTAATTAATACCAGCTGATCATCACTCTATACAATAAAAGACAATAATCTTTTCAATTATGAACATCATAAAAACTTGTAGATAAGATGAAGCTTAGATTTCAATTAGGCTCATAGACTGGTTGACTCCACACAATTCCTGCTTTCTTTTCTTATGTCTAGTAGAAAACAAAGTAAGCGGCTGTTTAAGGGTTAATTACAGAGTGCCATTGATAATCTCTTTAAATCCTCCACTGATTCCATACTTCCTTTGTTTTTCTTTAACACACTTCAATCATAAGTTCTCAAGTATATAATCATTCTATCTATTTAAGGTTTCATGGCGTCACTTTTAAAGACATATAAATTGACTGTGGGTTAAGTGGTGTAAAGGTTATGTTTCTATGTAGAGGTTTCAATCAGAGTGCTGTTTTAATGATATCAATTTTCAGCTTTTCCATTAGTCATGTTCATTTTTCTGCGCAATCCTTCTGCCCATGCACATTGCTAAATACAAGAATACCCCAATGTTGGAAGAGCTGAATGGATATATAATAACAAAGGCTGCAATGCTGACACATTGCTGTTTTTGAAAACTGATACAGGGCTGTGTAATAATGCTGACACATTGCTGTTTTTTAAAAACTGATACAGGGCTGTGTAAGAATGCTGACACATTGCTGTTTTTGAAAACTGATACAGGGCTGTGTAAGAATGCTGACACATTGCTGTTTTTGAAAACTGATACAGGGCTGTGTAATAATGCTGACACATTGCTGTTTTTGAAAACTGATACAGGGCTGTGTAAGAATGCTGACACATTGCTGTTTTTGAAAACTGATACAGGGCTGTGTAAGAATGCTGACACATTGCTGTTTTTTAAAAACTGATACAGGGCTGTGTAAGAATGTTGACACATCGCTGTTTTTTTAAAAACTGATACAGGGCTGTGTAATAATTCTGAAACATTGCTGGTGAATTCAGGGTGGTGGGTGAAAGCTGACTTATTCCTATTAGCAAAATCTGATAAATTGCTGAGGTTGACATTTGACACCTATCTGTGGTAAATTCTAAATAAGGGATGTGTGTGAAAACAGACACCTATCTGTGGTAAATTCTAAATAAGGGGTGTGGGTGAAAACAGACACCTATCTGTGGTAAATTCTAAATAAGGGGTGTGGGTGAAAACAGACACCTATCTGTGGCTAAAGCTGACAGGGGAATGACTGAAAGCTGATATAGGTAGATAAAAGCTGACACCTCTATAGTTGAAAGCCTGATACATGGCTATGGTTTAAAGCCTGATACAGTGAAAACTGTTCAAGGGCGTGTCGAGTCTTTGAACACAACTGTAAGAACTGTATTTCCAGAGTAAAAGTCAGCTATTCCCAAACCAGATTCATGTTTTGCCAGATATTTAGAACAAGAAATAAACTTGGAGGTATACCACAACTTTAACCTATTAACAATCACATGTTTTTGACAAGGAATCTTCAGTATTTGTGATTTGAAATCAGAGACTGGTAGACATCTTTGATCTTTTTATTAAATCCATCAAAAGAAAAGACAATTGATCTGTTGTCTGTAAAAGACCAATAATCTTCAAGTTTTAACCAATACAATTTGATTAGTGCTAGAAATTGTCTCTATTGTTCTCTAACAAACACTAACTAATCATTGCATTTCTTATAAATTACTCACCATTTTATCTTCAAATCTTTGATTTCCAGGCATTTTAGTTTGTTGTTTTTTACTGTTTTGCACACAAATCGGCAAATGAATATGGACAATGCCAGGCAGTCTGACATAGATAGAGTATTTGTCTATCCAAAAACAAGAAGTTGCAATTTGTCCTTTCTCAATATGTTACAAATGAAATGCTGACTATTATAAAAAGAACAAAATCTTATTTAGCCCAAAAACAAAAATATATGTAGATACTATATCCAGATTAAGACATCCACTTCACATTTTTTTAATTTGGTCAAGTCAGATGATGAACGATTTCAACTAGGAACTATCGAAATTAATTGATCATTGAAGAAGTGAGGGCTTTCAAAAAGACCAAATGAAATGAATGGACTGTTACGTCGTACTTTTCTACACCATGTGGGCCAATGAAGACGGGCAACGTCATGCAAGGTGCAATTATGGCAATTTTGCCAGGACAGCGACATTAGTCTGCTTTTTATCGCTTTCCAACTGTTAAGGGATCTTAAACGTGCACAGTCTGTAGCATATGTGGGCCTCAGTTTATTGTCCCATCCTACGACTAGACGCTTTTTCCATGTCAGTCCCTCTTACCTGCATCACTGACAGGGGGAAATCGGGTTGAAAAATTCAGAGGAGTTATCTCGACCTATACTGGGATTGAACGCTAAACTTTCAGGTTATCTTGCAAACATCTAACTCACTGAGCCACTGCAGCTCCCAAAATTGAAATGAGTATTCAAAGTATCAACTCTTGTATCAATGATATTAGAGTACAATTTGAATATTGATAATATTATTATCTAATAGAAAGAGATGCATCTAACATAATCTTTAGCTCCCAATATATATGTGTAATAGAAATTCTGGCCAGGATGAAATGAAAGTTAAACAAGGAACTGACTACCCTACTCTATCAATTTCTAATTACACCCTAAAACCACTGTTCAAAGAAATGGTGTGTTTACAATGTTGCTGAGAACTATCAAAAATCATACAAATATATAATTGATTTTCAAGATTTTTTATAATTTCTAATTTCTATTCCTTTCTTGCCCTGGATGTATTGCCATCTGCAAGCAAGTCTCTATTGTTTTTCCAGACAGCCACTTGAAAGAGTTATCCCAAATGAGTTTTCAAATTGGAACATGGAAGAAAAATAGATTTGAGAAAGAATGGTAAATTAGGCAATAAAATACCAACAAATTCAACTATCAATAAAACACCCTCAGGTCTTGGCCATGGCTGTTCTTTAAAATATCTTGCAGAATGGGAAAAATGTGATTGTTGGACTAGATGAGAATTAAAGCAATGAGGCTTGTTGAAATTTTGTTAGAGAACAGAACTTATGTGGAAGATTAAATTCTGTTTTTCTGCTTGGCTGCATTATTTCTCATTGCTTGTTTAAAACACAAAAGCTTTTCTTCATTTGTTGCCATTACAGTGAACTTGAATTTGACAGGTTGCCACAGTAACGGCACAAGAATGACAAAAGTTTGTTAAGTGTAGGGACATGTGAAAATTTGACGTTCATTGATTGGAATGAAGAGGAAATGAAAGACACAATAAAAGAACTACTCACCGATGATTTTTCTTGGAATGTTCGAATGGTCCAATTCCACTCTGGCAATATTCATTGGATACCACTCTTTTTGTTTCCTTTCAATTGTACTCCGTCTAAAATAGAATTGAGGAACTAATGAAAGAATAGCAAGCTCTTTGCATGAAGAAATCTTATTTCACTCTTGAAAACCCAATGATTTCTTGTCAGGCCAGTCACAAACATGGTTTTATTTTGGTTAGAGAGAAGAAGAATGATTCAAGGTTCTGAACAATAAATACTGTTTAGAACTCATCTAACCAATTCTATTCCCAATTTTCATATCTTCACAATGTAATCAAAAGATTTTTCACTACAATAATCAACTACATGTTCCTGTAACTGTTCACAGTTGGATATATTAGCTTGTAAATGAGAATTGCTGCTCAATATCAAGAATTTTTTTTGACATACAATACAAACAATTGTTTAAGGACTAAAATCAAAGTAGGACACTATAGAGGTCTCATCACATGGAACCAGTCTGAGATGCAAATCAGAAATAGGGGGAAGGGAGCTGATAACTTTAATATTTATCATAACATATGCCTTGAACTGTGGACTTACTGAGTTTTGAGCAATACTTATATAAAGGAAAAGAAACTCTCTAGAAAGGAGGTGCATACACTCAAGCGCCCTAATCTCAAGCATTTGTTTATTCTTAACAAAACAAAACATGCTTGATTTTCAGTTTTTACTTTGTATGACCACATATTATTTTGAACGGCCAAATTTTATCGTTATTGCTTCCATTTAGGAAAGAGTGCACAAATTCTGGAGGACCTGACAGATGTTTTGAGCCCTGGACATGCATTCTGTTTCAGTATAGTTAGGCTTATAGAATCTTTAATGCTCACTACACTACACTACACTAGTTGGCACTGGGGCTCGAATCCTCCTTAAGGTGCCCCCAAAGCGGTCTCCTTGTCCACTTTCAACCTGTATCATTTTGCTTTTTACTCTCAGAAACCAAACGGCATTTTCATCAAACATCAGATAAATCCAAATCTAATTTCAGAAGGAAAAAAAATCAGAAGAGTAGACTACAATTAATTCTAAAATGTCCCACTCTTCGGAGGGTAAAAACAGCTAAAAAGCCTAAAGGAATTTGCTACTTGAGCTATTCTGACTGAGAATGAGAATAGAATAGTTAATTAAAACCAGTAAGGACACTCGAAAATAATCTGGCCTTTTTTGTTATTTGACATTATCAATTAGTTGAATACAGAAAATATCAGCAAGAGTGGAGAATTGATGCTTGACTGAGCAAAGAAAGGGAATTGATTTTTGGTAAAATAATAATGGTGGAATGTGCAGGAAGAATGGAGGCACGCAGTAAAAATGTAATCTAGTTGGAAGAATACTAGATTAGAAACCTTTTGTCTGTGCAGTAAGTGGGTATTGGTGCCGTCTAGCAGGGAATGTGTTGGAATCTATACTCAACCCTGGAGGTTATAGGAGGTGAAATGCATTCTAACAAAGAAAAGAAAAGATGGTATTGATTAATGTGTTCCTTGGAAAAGCTCGGATGCAAATGTGCATTATTAGAGTGAAAATCAATTGGAGAGGACAATAGAGAAATTCAGACTAAATACATCTCTTGTCATAGTGTTCATCAACTATAGATCAATTCTTGTCCAAAATCTCCCCAATTCTAAATCATTCTACATAATAGCAGCCATCAAAATTGAGATATAACTTTTTTCTACAATTTGTTCACCAAACTTTTAAAGGAATTCATGGGTGTAACTTTATTTTCTTTAAATCATTTTTCTATTTTTCAAATTTATTTCAAATCTATTTCATCCGATAAAAAGTCTGTTGTTTTTCATTAATGAAGATATGACTTGCATACATGTTGGTTTTAAAATGTCCTTAGTCAGAAACTGAAATCGTTGTTACATGTCTGTGTTTAAATCTAACCATAATAATAATACTATCTTTTATAAGGGGAGCTTCCATCTACAGTTTATCATTCCAATAATTCTAACCTTTAAAACTTAAATTTAAAGTTGAACATTACCATATATCTTTTAAAGAAGAGCTTAAATTTGACCTGTAGCACCACACAAATGATAACCTTTAAAGAAAGCTGAAATTTCAAATATTACATTACAATAATGCTATCCTTCCAGAAAGAGCTTAAATCTGAACTGTTACATTAAAAAAATGCTATACTTCCAGAAAGAGCATAAATCTGACATGTTATATTACAATAATGCTATCCTTCCAGAAAGCTTAAATCCGACAAGTTACTTCACAATAATGCTATCCTTCAAGAAAGAGCTTTAATCCGAATTGTTATATTACAATAATGCTATCCTTCAAGAAAGAGCTTTAATCCGAACTATTACATTACAATAATGCTATCCTTCCAGAAAGCTTAAATCCGACATGTTACATTACAATAATGCTATCCTTCTAGAAAGAGTTTAGATCCGAACTGTTACATTACAATAATGATATCCTTCTAGAAAGAGCTTTAATCCGAAACTGTTACATTACAATAATGCTGTCCTTCCAGAAAGAGTTTAGAACCGAACTGTTATATTACAATAATGCTATCCTTCTAGAAAGAGCTTAAATCCGAACTGTTATATTACAATAATGCTGTCCTTCCAGAAAGAGCATAAATCCGACATGTTACATTACAATAATGCTATCCTTCTAGAAAGAGTTTAGATCCGAACTGTTATATTACAATAATGCTATCCTTCTAGAAAGAGCTTTAATCCGAACTGTTATATTACAATAATGCTGTCCTTCCAGAAAGAGCATAAATCCGACATGTTACATTACAATAATGCTTTCCTTCCAGAAAGAGCATAAATTTGACATGTTACATTACAATAATGCCATCCTTTAAAGGACAGCTTAAATGTAAAGTACTGGTAGTGTTTTTAAAGAAAAGATTTATTGTAATCATGTCACATTACAACATGTATCAATCTATTCACTCTCTAACTAACAAATTATTTCTTTTTCATAGATTTTCTTTCTCCAACATCAGTGAAAATATTTCGGGGTCAGAATAAGAATTGAAGTGCTTGTCATACTTGGCTTCCTTCATTTACCCATTATGCAGTCAGGCAAAAAGTTCCGATAACATTTCGAACAATGTTCAATAAAAGTTGGAAAAAAGGAAAATAAATTACATTGTTGGCAACATTTGCCGAATTGGAAACACATTAAGAGAGTTAAGTTGAAGAGAAATTTTTTTGTAAAATTGTAATAAAAGTGAAAAGAAGATAAAATGCTGGAATGATGTTGAATATAAAAGCAAATGAGGTGGGCATTGAACCAATAGGCAATCAACTGTTTGTCATTTTCAGAAATCAATTTTCCCTCTAATATGAAATTCTAAGTCCTTGGAATTTAAGACAATACAAGCTCATTTGTCATAAGTTGGTGTTTGAAGCATCATAAATCTTAATATTTGATGAATATATTTTGATGATGTTTCTATTGAAATGATTAATATTGAGTATTTAAGGTTAAAAAATAATTCTTATCCAGCATTTGAACTCTGTGTATGTGCTTCTTGTGTGAAACTAGCTGACTCTTATGTGCTCTCTGATAGCTTGACAATTAATAATGAGTGTAGGGTTATATAAGTAATTGTTTCTAGTATTTGCAAACTCTTTAATGCTCTTGATCTTTTCTAGAAAAAAATAGAATCAGTTACAGCTGAGGTACACAAATATCCTATATTCTGGTTTAGCATTGATCTTTCCATACCCATTTACAGCAGGATCAACTGGAATAATTAGAAAAGATGACCAATTCAAGGTTACCAGATTTTCACACTCTGACCCATGATTAGAACCCACCACTATCATCTACCATTCAAGCATTTCTTTTAAGTTTAAGGTAAAAATCAAATCATTATATCCTTTCACTATGCCTGGTTAGAGAGAAAAGAAGAATGTGGTATACATTTCTTCAATAACATCAACAAGATGGTGAACAGAGGCCTTATTATTTCCATTCATTTCTTGCAGACAGTGCCTTTCTTTTAGTCTGAGTTACCCCAATTCAGAAGTGAACAAAATACATCATTTTGTGAGAGAATCATGATTAATATGCAGTCAGACAATGTATAAACTTGAAAGAAATCAGAGAGAAGAAGTCATTTCAGTTGGAAAACAATTCAATTTCTCAAATGTGTGGTTTCTGTCTAATTCAAATATTGGTGTAAAATAGACAGAGATTGACTATAAAGCTCAAGTTATTTTCACAATGTTGACTAAACGGAATTTTTAATAAATATCTAAATATTTTCCTTCAAAGACACCATTTTATTTCAGTTTTACATTTTATTTTTCTCCCGCTAATTTCAATTTACACAAGATTTTGACCTGTGGCTTTTCTGAAAATATTTACCCTTTTCTTGATGAAAAGCCAAGCCTACAAGTCAACAGTGAACATTATCAGGTTTTTTTCCCTTCCTATTTTTTGTTTTGTCATCTTAGAAGTTAAGTTTCAATTTAAGTCGAGTTCTTTCATCTGAGTTAATCAGTGTGATAACATTGAGTGAGCCTTAAACAACGAAAACTATTAGAAAACAAACAGTTGTCTCCATTGGTGGATATACCCCGTGATTACAATGCCTTTTTCTTGACGTATGTGAGGGATTGTGTTCAACAGATCTGAAAATGAGAGCGCTATTCTTCAAAGTGAAAAATAGTAATGGTATCAAAAGAATGTCATTCCATAATACCTTTTTAAGTCAGAACAGAGGAGAGCAGTGAGAAAAATGACTAAGATGACGGTGAAGGTGCATTCAATGATCAACAAGAAACAAGCACTGAACGGCGTACAGTATTAGTTTGAGGCTTTCCGACTTTACCCTTGTTTTAAATCTTTCTATTTTGTCTTGAGAGTTTAGCTTAGAGAGTAATTGACAAATGAGGAAGAAAGTGGTTTGTGGTGATTGCGTTCTATCCTCTTGTCAACAATGGCTAACAAAAGGGAAAGCAATGACAAAGGGAAAGACATACTTGTGTTAATTGTAGGATAATGGCAATTATACTTCTGTTTGTTTGTTGTCAACTTGCAGTTCTTCAGTATTTTTCTGAGTTCAGAAGAAGAAGATGTCATCTCAACTGTGTTACCAGATGAACAAGAGAAGAGGGTCGGACAAATTCTTCACGAAAGTGTTTTTGTTATCTCGTTACATTTGGGCTTAACCCTTTGAAGAGTGTAAATGAAATATAACATCATATACCCTGAACTCCAAGTAATAAAAATAAAAGCGTATGATGTTAACACTGTATGACGTCACTTAGTAACGCCGGTATACTGGTATATATTGTGTTATGGCCAGCCGCTGGGGTTGAAAGGGTTAAAGACTGAGAAGAAATTTTCAGTCTACAGTCACATTTCATTATCATTATCTATACTGCAGCACTCAAGAATAAATCTATGAACTCTAAAGAACAATAGGATTTCTAAAGAGTCACTTTTAAAAAGAATAAATGTATTGGCATTTCTAGAACCAAAAGACACAAAATTCCAATATTGAATTTTTTTTTTTTAATCTTCAGTTGAATAAAATTTACCACAAGATTGTATTTACACAAATATATCTGAGGAGAAAAGGTTAAAATAAATTAAATATTTGATTGTGACTAACATATCGCCTCCAAAAAAAAAAAAATCCATCTCAAGTCGAAAACGTGAAGATGATCTTATAGAGTCTGCAGTTTTCAACAAACTTCATTATATGTTTCACATCAAACACAATCTTTTCTTCTACATCATTAATTTCTCTCTTCTTTCTTTCTTTTAATATTCATTCTCATTGCTTTTCAAATAGAGTGTAGTGGAATCTTGAGAGAACTGCATGAATCACTGAAGGAATGCCGCAGCGTTTCAACAGTGGAACACCCGAGGGCAACCAATTATCAACCATTGTCTAATATTGATCCCTACGAAACAATCTACTGACCCGCAAACAGCTGCCTGCCATCTCGAGATGGGTGCGAATTTGAACAGAGATAAGAAAATAACACAAAACATCAAGCAGACGACCTTTTTCTGCCGTGATTAGTGACAGTTATTGATTCAACGGCCTCTTTGATGACATTATCTCAAAATGGCTGATCAAGTTTAATTACTTTCTCCCCTAAATACTGCTGTCTTTTAATAATACCAATAGTGAAATCAGTAGAACGCAAGACTGACACCAGATTATACAATAGTGATTGTCATTCTATCAATAGTTTATAATATTACATTATCAATATGTCTGCTAAACTTGGTCTATCTATAACAAAACTTAAGTGGGAGTCTCTAGTGATATGGGACTTTCCTTACTTCTTTTAGAGCATAAGATTCAACCCAGAGCAGCAATCTACAGCATTAGGCCTACTCGGCATATGAAATTTGTCTTTTGAATGATTATTTGATAAATGATTAAATGTCATGTTCCATTTGCAACTTTTGAGACAAGACTTTCTAAAGTGTCATTGTTACAAAAAACATATAATTCTATCTGCTTCACTGTTCATCATCACAGAATAATTGTTCATCCAATATTTTAACATTGAAAACCTTGGTAAAAGGGACACAACTCTTATTCCAAACAGAAGTTCAAAGAAAACCAGGAAAGGTTCAACCATACATTTGCCCTCCAATGGTTGAAATGATAGATTGAAAATATAGAATATTCAATATATAACAACTTAAGTATAACCACCAAATTAATTTTTTTTTCATCTATGCTCTAAATAAATTGGTTGGGAAATTTTAGCTTGAAAACTTTCACAAGGATTAAAAGGTAAACCCACTTATCCTGAACTTACTCATTTCTTCTACTCCTCCCTAGACCTCACCTCTCTAGACCAACTCAATCCTTCTTTCCTAGACCAACTCAATCATTCCCCTCTCTCCCTGGACCAACTAAATCATTCTCTCCCTAGACCAAATAACTATACATTCTTCTTTCCTAGACCAACTCAATCATTCCCCTCCCTCCCTAGACAAACTCAATACTTCCCCTCCCTAGAGCAACTCAATCCTTTTTTCCTAGGCCAACTCTTCCCCTCCCTAGACCAACTCAATCATTCCCTCCCTAGACCAAATAACTATACTTTCTTCTTTCCTAGACCAACTCAATCATTCCCCTCCCTCCCTAGACAAACTCAATACTTCCCCTCCCAAGACCAACTCAATACTTCCTCTCCCTAGACCAACTCAATACTTCCCCTCCCTAGACCAACTCAATCCTTTTTTCCTAGGCCAACTCTTCCCCTCCCTATACCAACTCAATCATTCCCTCCTTAGACCTACTCAATCATTTCCCTCCCTCCCTAGACTAAATAACTATACATTCTTCTTTCCTGGACCAACTCAATCATTCCCCTCCCTCCCTAGACAAACTCAATACTTCCCCTCCCTAGACCAACTCAATCCTTTTTTCATAGGCCAACTCTTCCCCTCCCTAGACCAACTCAATCATTCCCTTCCTAGACCTACTCAATCATTTCCCTCCCTCCCTCCCTAGACCAACTCAATCCTCCCTTCCTTCCTAGACCAACTCAATCATTCCCCTCCCTCCCTAGACCAAATAACTATAGATTCTTCTTTCCTAGACCAACTCAATCATTCCCTGGACCTAATAACTATAGATTCTTCAATCCTTCCCCTCCCAAGTTCTACTCACCATAAATACTTCTGCCGTAGACCTACTCATCCTAAATTCTTTCACCCTAGACCTTCTCACCCTATCATCTTTTGCCCTAGACCTACTCACCCTAAATTCTTCTGCCCTAGACCTACTCACCCTCAATTCTTCTTCCATAGACCTACTCACCACAAATTCTTCTGTCCAAGACCTACTCCCTCTATATTCTTCTGCCTAGACTTACTCACCCTAAATCCTTCTTCCCTAGACCTATTCATTCTATAATCTTCTGTCCTAGACCTATTCACTCTATATTCTTCTTCCATAGACCTACTCACCCTAAATTCTTCTGTCCAGACCTACTCACCCTGAACTTTACCTTCCCAGTCACCTTGGACAGAATCATCCTGAAGTTAACCCTTCAAGACTCTCACCCTGAACACAATTACCCTCAATAATCACTCCCTATGTCTGCTAACCATTGACTGACCCAACCTCTCTAGACCTTGGGACTGTCTCACCGAACAGGTTGGTAGAATAGGAAGAGAGCCAACACCAGAGCAATTTTTTGTACAAGAATCGATTAATTTATGGTCATTTTCTAGACCCCTGGAGCTGAGAATAATTTATAAACCAATTGACACAAGCATCAGATCAATAATTACTGACAAGCGTTTACATTGAGTTTAAAAGCGTCCTTAAGAGAAAAAATATAACCTGACATGTGGGGCCTCAAGTTAAACTTGACTGACTGACGGCATCCCTGCTATAAATACCATAAGCATATACATCAAATCTGTATTGTACAGTCCTTTAGAAAACTGACTTCATAATTACATAATTCTTAATTGTAAATTTCCACTAAAGTTGAATAAAGTTGGTTTACCTTTAATCCCAGATAATCCTTCATAAAAGACACTAATAGAAACTATACACGGATTAAACAGTATTAAGTAAATCCTTTTAAAAATGGAGGAGCGTAGATCCACGTTCAACGTTCAACTTCTGTTATCATATGACATTGTCTAGTAAAATCAAATATATAACAACATGTATAGAAAAAGCCTTCTATTGTAAATTATTATATTGTACCCTCAATAAAGGTTACCTCAATTTTAAAACAGGGTGTGCTCTAAAAATCCTTTTATCAGAACTCCACTGAATCGAGATGTCTTTCTATGTAAGCCTACAGTTATGATAAGACGTTTGGGGAGATTTTTCCTTTTTCTTTTCAAGTTTATGATTGTAGTTATCAATTGTTCAATAATTCTTCTCATACATTGAGACCAACGCTCGATATTAAAGACACACAAGATAATGAAACACAAACAAGTATGACTAAAGCAGTTTTTGTTGATTTTCTTTTATTTGAAGATATTATATTTTTAATTGAAAGATGTAGAGGCGAAGCGTGAACAAGACATACTACTGAATAGCTGGATATTTCCTACAATCGTATCTAAAAGGGGACAAGATACAATGATTTTCAATACATTTAAGACTAATTTGAGATGAAATGACTGAGAGGTCAATAGATGAGACTTGCCATCATAACATACATCTGATCAAATCAACCATAATCAATTAGTTGAAAAGGTTTTATTCAGATACAATTGATGTTTTGGTATTAAGCACTTTGATATATTTATCACTATCTGCTGTGAACAATGATTTCAGTTGCTGTATATTGAGAATTGTGAGAATATTAAGAGTTGACAAGTTATAGATGAAGCATATCAATGTGAGATTGGTATATGAGAATATTGGTATTTACATGTAAAATATTATGATGCTTCTTTTATGTAACTAAATGAGTATATAATTTCCATAAAATGAGGATTTTTTATCTAAGACATAAATAACTTAAGATACTGAGGATATTCCATCTGAGAAATAACTTAACATACTGAGCATATTCCATCTGAAAAATTACTTAAGATACTGAGGATATCCATCTAAAAAATTGTTTAAGATACTGAGGAAATACATCTGAAAAATTGCTTAAGATACTGAAGATATTCCATCTGAATTACATAAGATACTGGAGTAAATCCATCTGATAAATAACTTAAGATACTGGGGATATTCCATCTGAGAAATAACTTAAGATACTGAAGATATTCCATCTGAGAAATAACTTAAGATACTAATGACATTCCATCTGAATTACATAAGATACTGGAGTAAATCCATCTGATAAATAACTTAAGATACTGGGGATATTCCATCTGAGAAATAACTTAAGATACTGAAGATATTCCATCTGAGAAATAACTTAAGATACTAATGACATTCCATCTGAATTACATAAGATACTGGAGTAAATCCATCTGATAAATAACTTAAGATACTGGGGATATTCCATCTGAGAAATAACTTAAGATACTGAAGATATTCCATCTGAGAAATAACTTAAGATACTGAAGATATTCCATCTGAGAAATAACTTAAGATACTGATGACATTCCATCTGATAAATAACTTAAGATACTGATGACATTCCATCTGAGAAATAACTTAAGATACTGATGACATTCCATCTGAGAAATAACTTAAGATACTGAAGATATTCCATCTGAGAAATAACTTAAGATACTGAAGATATTCCATCTGAGAAATAACTTAAGATACTGAAGATATTCCATCTGAGAAATAACTTAAGATACTGATGACATTCCATCTGATAAATAACTTAAGATACTGATGACATTCCATCTGAGAAATAACTTAAGATACTGAAGATATTCCATCTGAGAAATAACTTAAGATACTGAAGATATTCCATCTGAGAAATAACTTAAGATACTGATGACATTCCATCTGATAAATAACTTAAGATACTGATGACATTCCATCTGAGAAATAACTTAAGATACTGATGACATTCCATCTGATAAATAACTTAAGATACTGATGACATTCCATCTGAGAAATAACTTAAGATACTGATGACATTCCATCTGAGAAATAACTTAAGATACTGAAGATATTCCATCTGAGAAATAACTTAAGATACTGAGAATATTCCATCTGAAAATTAATTATGATACTGAGGATATGCTATCTGAAAAATTTCTAAAGATACTGATGATATTCCATCTGAAAAATAACTTAATATAATGAGGAAGATTCCGTCTGAGAAATAACTTAAGATAATGAGGATATTCTTTACCGAATACATAAGAATTCATTATAAAAGATACTGTGATATTTAATAACTTGCATTTCGTAGTCCACATAAAAAAGTTCTGGCACCGAAAAATTAAACAGCTCTAATTCATTTGCACAGAATCCTACAAGCAACAATTTACTTACAAACAAAATTACTTAAACACCTATTCAGAACATGTATTATGTTAATTAAACGTAATTTTAGAAAGAAATTAACAAATTCACTGTCTCCTTTGATAAATGTAGAAAAAAAAACAATCAAGTTACAACGATTACCATCCAATTATTCAAAAACACAGCTATTGAAAGACTGAAGATGGTACTTGAAGAGGGAAAAGTTAGAAAGTTAGTGTGTTCTGTTTGAAATCAAATCTGTACAATCAACAATCAAAACGAGCCACTTTTCACCCAACATTATTTGGATACTGGGCTAAACGAAATCACTAGGGCCCATTAAAAGGGACAATGGGACAATAGTTATGTTTGCATACCAACATTTATCATTGTTATGAAAGATTGACACAAAGGCAAGGTGGCCTTATCTGCCCTCCCTTAATGTCAATAAGGCAACATTGAAAAATAATTTGTTTATTAATGGACACTTGATGTAAGTAAGACAAAACATGTTGGGTACTTCATAATAATCTCTTCATTATTGTCTTAACATAAGTTTATATTTTGATGTCAAGTATGTTTTAATATTTCATTGTCTACAATTAGAATGTCTTTCTAGATAGAGTAGACTATAAGTATTAAGTTTTTAATTCTTCTTAAAAATTATATTAGTGTTAAAATCAATGTAAAAAGTATATATGTATCACATTTTGAATGAATTATATCATATTCTTATTTAATTATATAATATATACCAACAGAAAAACATTTCATCAGAGTTGTATTAAAGGGGTAATGCGCTATTATAGGTGGGTTGATTTGAGTCTTGAAAATATGTAAATAATCTTCAGAAGTACTAGAAATGTACGAAAGTCGCATAATTCCTTGAAAAATAAATCAAACTAGGAATTTTACTCACAATGTCTATATATGTCTTTATCACAGAGCATCTTAAAATGGCGAGTCGTCATTTTAACATTCAATCACGGATAATTCTGGACACACATGGATTTGAAGGCTAAAATTTGGATGGTGAGCTGTGAACACTATTACTGATTGGCTTAGCTTAGCTGAAAAATTCTCATTTCTGAGATTTATTGGTCGAAAAGAACAGTGCACCTGTCCCTTTAATATTATTATTTTTCAGCTGAAGCAAAAAGATAGATATGTAGCCATGGATTTCAAATTGACAAATATATTTTGGGTATCGAATCATTAACCCTTTCAAACCTGGCCGCTGGTTTACCAGCCACATAATTGTGCAATACAGTGACGTAGCCAGAATTTCATTGACGGGGTGGGGGCCATCTGAGCACCTCAACTCCCCTTTTAGATTTGAGAAGGTACTAGTCACAGTAGGGGGTCAGGTTGGCCTCTGGCTGGAAAAATTTTATAATCTAGGAAGGCAGAGAATGCAACTTACACGATTTGGGCAGTGACAGTAGTATAAATTTCTCTTTTTTTTTTCTGCCGAGGGGAGTATGGGGGAAACATACCGGGGCTGCTGAAAAAGTGGCTGTTACCAAGTGAAGTCAAATAACATTAACATCATATACTGTAACTTTTATCTTTTAATTCATTAACTCTCAGTGTTCAAAGGGTTAGAAGTTGTAAGCCAACGGATTGATCTCAGTTTTGTCCACTAGAGGATTTATTGTTTTTCACAAACAAAATTAATTTGTGTTGGCCTTTTAGAGGTTGAATCCACCTGTTTTGAAGTTTTATCAGTGGACATTTCAATATTCTATTGTCATGCTAAGATGATGATAAAATGGTATTATAGTCTAACAACAATTGAATGTGTAACAATTATATGACAACCAACCCTCATGAATATATGACTATTGCTAACTCCCTGATAAAAGAGTTAAAATTTCTGAATATCATGGTTTATATAATGATACACATTATTTCATTGATAATATTCTTCCTATTTCTTTCTTATTCAAAATGCACATTGTGTTATTGTAGTGATTGAGCAATGACATTGCCTAAAAAAA